TATTCTTACTGTGCTGCGAAAATGAATTACTATTACTATAATTCAACCAACTAGGGACCACGATTTAAGCATTATGAGAAATATTTTCACATCAAAATTTCAAGTTGAATAAGATTTGTGTAACAAAAATATCGACAGTAACTTCTAACCACAATAATAATGTTTTCCGATACATAAAATCAAACTTCCCTTTCATACAAAAACCATATTCTACTTGAGTTAAACACAAAATGAAGGTTACTGTAACATTCTCTGTGGTATAAAAATAGGCAACCTCCATCTTGGCACATCGGCTCAGCTATTGCACGTTATTTACACTTTGAGAAACACAGGGTGGGGAAGGAACACTTTTCAATTAAAAGTCTGCCAAAACCGCTGAAAAGCATGATTTGTTCACACATACTCTGCTTTTTCTTGTGAGCAAAACTTCAAATTTTCCATAACCAGTGCAAGCTGAGAGTGTTAATATTTTGATTAAAAGTTTATTTCAATCATTTTTGTTGCACAAATTGTGTTCTGTATGAACTTTTGAGGAAGAAACTAATGCTTAAATGCTGACATTCATGCCTTATCTACTGGTCCATTGTTCACATTTATTGAAGTAAAATTGAATATTACTCCTCAGTTTTGCCTCTGAATTGGAAATCATCACATGTAGGCTAAATTGTAGGTATCACTTTTTCTTTAAATTGAATGTCAACATTTTGGAATTTAAAAACATGAGATACAATTCCCTGAAATATAAATTGCCCATTCTTTGACAGAAATATCTTAATTAAGATTAGGAGAAATTCGAGAACCTCATGTTAATGCAAAATATGAGAGTACAAGACAGACTCGCTGATCAAAGACTTCTTCAATCAGAATCTTCGACTACAGAATCTAGAAACAAAAAACAAAATCAAAATTCTCTTTCAATTCTGATAAAATTTCATTTTAAAATGTCTGGCACTACACTCATGATAAAAGAAGAGCTTATAAAATTATGAAAAATGTCGAGTTATCTTTCCTCTCTCAAATTTTCACAAGGAATGTTTTAACCACTTTATTTTAATTTTTTAACCATAATCAGGGAAAACTGAACTTCTTGCCTCTAAATAGAGAATTTAGAGGCAGGAGACATTGCAACAGAACTGAAGGAGTAAATCAAACGGAAAATTGACCATTCATTTTAGGAATTTCTTTCAAAAAAAAAAAAAAAAAAAAAAAAAAAAAAAAAAAAAAAATTGAAAATTTGAATTCGTTAAAATGTATGAAAATATTATAAAAGTACAGGAAAGGACCCCTTTGCCTCAATGTACAATCAGATGTGAAATAAGAGCCTCTTAGTGTTCTTTTGACTCTAAATTTTGTCCAATGATAAAAAAAAGTTTGTTCCTTAAATAGCTAAAAAAAAAAGCATTTACACAGCTTTGTGCAGTAAAAAATTATATCAGAAAAATCTTAAAAGAGGAGATAAATTTTGGTCTTCTTCCTAGCTGAGCACCCAAGAAGAAATAAAAAGAGAATATGAAATATTCATGGACACTCAATGGAAAAATAATTTAAACATGGGGTTTTCAACTCTACTTAGAGTGTAGAAACTGGTTTTGATTTTACATAGGTTTGAAATCATGCAGAAAGCATTATGTTCAAAGTAAGCCACGGTTTATTTGTTTATTAATTTGTTTGTTGTTTTTTCTTTCTTTCTTTCTTTCTTTTTTTTTTTTTTGATAGAGAAACAAAAACTCCGCATCTCAGAGAATTACAACAAAATTGCCTCTCTACTTTCATTGTGATTTGTGCTACACTTAGGTCAAATAAATGTGAGCTTAAAATGCACTCCATTTAAACTTTTAAAGGCTTTAAAAACAGGAGTAAATTTTTCGAACTGCCGACTTTAGAGCCCTCACAATTCTAGTTTGATTTGACATTTTTGAGCTTCAATTGTGTGTCAAACTGAAATATTTTCTTAGTGATAGCACCAATGCATCAATTTGAAATAAGGTGCTCTCTTCGGAGAACTATCAAATTTTAAGAAAGGAAAGAAAAATACACAAAATTTCATTGAATTAAGAACGATTGGTTTTCCTTGTTTTAAATGAAAATAAATGGAATATTTAAAAAAGACAAACTGAGATGCTACATTTTCTATTTTTGCTGATAAAAAGGAATTTTTTTGCTTCCATCTGGTCATAAAATGATTATCCACATGAGTCTTTCTAACGTAGAATATGTTTAGTCGACAGCTACAGTATAAACATCATATCATGGCAATAAGGCTTACTTGAAAGCAAGGCTCTATTTTGCACATTATTTACAGAGTATTCAGGAATGTCTAGGGGCTGATAACTTAATTATGTCAATTCATAGGAGTATTTTTGAATGTCAGTTGATTTTCATGAAATTGTGTACTGAGGAAATGTACATTTTCCTCATGCTATTATTAAAAAGGTTCAAGGTTGAAATGTCCTTGGAATCACAGAAGAAGGCAGATAGATTGATCACTTTTATGAGAATAGAGGAAAAATTCTGCAAATTTTGTCTTGTTTCTAAATCCTACAACTTTAAAGTTTCTGAATACTCTTATGAAATTCTCACTAACATAAATTTTTGAAACTCAATTTACACTCATGAACATTCTCGAGTCAAAAGAAATTGATTTTTGGGTGGAAAATCCAGGATTCACAATAAAGACGTGAGTTCAGCTCAATATTTGGGATAAGGGAAAGAATTATAGCAAAAGATGATTCATGAATAAATTTGCAACATCCGCAAGCATCAGGGGAACTCCAACAAACTTATAAATAGGACAAATGATTTTTCAAAATATTTGCAGCCAAACTAGACACATTGATAAGTACTAAGTATTTTGCTAGGTAAATACTAGGCAAATCAATGTGGCCAGTGAGCATTGCATTACTTTGGTTTCATTTAGAATAACTTGCAACAATACTCCAGGAATGGAAATGTTGGAATAACATTTCAAAATCTGATAAAAGGTTAAACTTTCGTAGAGAACCTTCACTCCAAAAAATTCAAAACTTTTGAGGTCCACAGAAAAAATTTACCACCAAGCTATCACAAGTATGCAATCTATGATATCAAAAATTTTTGTGCTAAAAAAATACATTGCGACATTTCATTAAATAATATTGTCCATTGATAGAGGACGAATTCTTATTATTTTAAAAATCTGAGTGCAGTTTCCAAGTCATACTAAATCTTCATATTATCACGCCTATTTGACAAAATGCATTAATTCTAAAAATTGATTTCAAACACTTTCAAGGATTGTTACGTCTGTTGAAAGACTTGGTAAATGCACAGCTTATTTCAAGCTTGTCTCTAATCATATTAGAGGAGGATAATTTACCACATTGCATGATTCATAAAAAAAAGTATGTGCCCATTGTGATGAGGAATAGTAAAAAAAGTTGGGTCACACACAAAAAAAAATACTAATTAATGGCTCAAAAATTAGGAAGGGAGTCTTTGGAGGCAATAAAATACCGTATGATAGAGTAATATTCTTTGCGTTACCACTTTCTCTAGTCCATAAAAATGTCTCAATCAAAAGGTCAAGAGATCTTGCTCTAAAAGAAATTTCACAGCTCACTCAATACAAATTGAACGATTTTGCTATACATCAACTTGGTTGCTTAGCTTATCAATTTGCTTCTAAAAGTAAACACAATTGTTCTAACTCTGGTCATCATACTTAGCATTGAGCTATTTTTCAAACGTAACATCTCTTCTCATCACTATTTTGCACTGCAGAATCCTCGCCTAACACTGACCTTTTACTCTGACAAATCTGCTTCAAAAATAGTTTATGGCACAAGACTCCAACTGTAATTAAACATATGTTGCATGTCCCTTCAATAATCATAAAAATGTGGGTGACTTAGAGACACCTAACCCATACACCTTTCGACTGAACAAATTGGGGCAAGTGGCAATTCAATAATCCTATTGTTGCAGTTAAAGGATACAGCCACCAAATGACAGTCAAAAAGTGTAAATTAATGAGTAAATTAGGATTCATAAGTTTAAAAATGGTAAGTACATAATCTCGGTTTGGGATTTTTCCTGCGTTTCACAGGATCCTCACAAACAATTCGTGCAAAATTTGCTGACCGACAATCTTCAGGGTTAAAAAAACTGCAAGTTGGCAAGACTTTTCGAACTATGAAAATGAATAAAGAAATAAATAATTAAATAAAAAGGCAAATATTGGAAGTTATGGAGCAAAAGTGGAGTTTAAGCTATTAACTTAAAAAATACATTCTTTCATTGAATTCTGACAAAATTTATGAACTTCTAAATTTGATGAAAAATTAATGAACAGCCTCCAAATGTCTGACTTCCTCATGACTAGATTTCTTTCTTTTTTGTTCATTCAAATTACTTTCAACAAGAACGAAGGGGGAAAAAACCCTAAATTTAAATAAATCTTGACAGAATTGAACCCCTCTAACTTGCGGAGAAATAACTCTTCATAATGAACTTTGAGGTGCATCCATGAAGTAATCGATAAATTAATCAGTCACAAAACAAAAGATCATAACACAAGCAAAAAAGGAAAAGATAGAGAGTGAAAGAAGTCCTACTACTCAAGCCAGTACAGTGTAAAGAAGTTCAATTCGACTCCTACTTATTTGCTACTAAAAGAGGAGGAAGTGGGCAGCATTCAGCAAGATACAACCAACTTTCTTGAGAAGGGAAAAAAAGGTCTGCACATCAAAAGTAGAATAAATGAGGCTAATGGATGGGATCAACATTGTAATTTGAACACTTGATAGACTATTTTTTCCCTCTTTGAATATAAAGAAAATTGAACCAAGTGCAAATTAATCTACTCTGTTTCTCATGGAAACTTGCCTGGCACCCTAATGAGCAGACCCCAGGTTTCCCAAAAAACTCGGTATCCCTTCCCTGAACACTGCCCAAGTTACGTTAGTAAAGCCTGTGAACTAGCGACATGCTCGTTGAATCTAAAACTTCAAAATACTACTCACCATCTATTTGTCCGTATTCCCGGAGATGTATTCTGGTGAGGACTTCTTTGTAAAGGTTTTCTGCTAATTTGTACTTGCCTTGCTTCAAAAAGCATGAGGCCAAGTTATTTTTGGTCCTAGCTACATTTGAATCGTCTGGTCCTAGTTTCTGTTCGTAAATTTCCAGCGCTCGTTTGTAATACCTTTCCACCTCATCATATTTACCCTACAAGTGCCAAAAACCAAAACTAGGATTCAGAAAAGCAAAAATACACAAATTAATACAATGAATAAAGCCCTGGGGAGAGGGCAAGCCACCAAAAATTTGCATCAGTATTTTTCCAACTATCCTGGATCTGTCAGACGAACCCTGAGAATGCATTTTCTCTGATAATCGGGCGGACGGAACTTCAGGCTGTGATGGGTTCTTTTTTCATTTCTAATTTTTGGGCATCCACCCTAACACCAGAGTGAAAGCATAAAACTTCCTCTTTCTGCGGATTATTATTCTGGAAGAAGATACCTTCTACTCTTAGGTAAAAGAATGACCGTCAAAGATTGTTTTTTGTACATGTTACGGTCAATGTTAGGGGGCCGGCCGATGCTGTCACTGACCGGCCAATGATAGCATCGGCCGAAATCGAGGGTCAAGATTGGCCAAAAAGCCCGGTCACTGTTAACATTTTCACCGCGAGGTGAACAATGGCCGGCCGATGATGACAGTGGCCAATGACTGACGGCCATTGTTCATTCACATTATAAAACACCGTAAAACTGAAAACATACCACATGAGAGGAAACAAATGAGTGAATGTGTAATTACTACAGCTGTTTGATTTATTTTTCAGAGGGTTTTTTTTTTTTTTTTATTTATTTTACATTTCTTTCGACTTTAAAAATTGGAGAATTTTTTTTTTGTTTTCGTTTTCGTTTTTGTTTTTGTTTTTTTTTATTCCACAGCTGTAATAATTATCTCAAGAAGCAACGTTGAGTTTTAATTTACCTTATTTGTTGGTGCACACCTCACTCTTGTGGCACTTGGAATTACAGAGCAGTCCAGCGGCTCGACAAGCACATCGGTTGTTTGTGTACTTTTGCCGGCAGTTGCATCGTTTGAATGCCACTTTGTCACTCAACTCTCTCACGTTCAATTGATAAATGATAACAGATCCAACATTGGCCATCACCCCTCGGCCAAACAGTACATTGGCCGGCCAATGACATCAGAGGCCGGTCAATATGTGACGGTTTTATTGTTAAGAAAACATTTCCCAAAATCGCTGGCCGATGACATCTTCGGCCGAAACGCCCGGCCATGGTCAACATTGGCCGGCCAATGACATACACTTCCCCATTCCCTAACATTGACCGTAACATACATACACTCAAGGTAGATGTTCCATGAGTTTTACATACAGAGCATCTGCGAACTTAGAGGGAAAGGATTTCTTGACTTATCTAAGCTTGCCTTGACCAAAATGACACAAATTCTCTGATTCTCAATCGCGTAGAACGAGAAATTAACTATTTTTCGCATTTATTTCACTGCAAATGACAGAAACATGTAAATCTTTATTCTTCAGGTATTCAGCATTCAATTAACTAAAATTGCAATTCCTTACCTTGACATAACTCCTAGACTTAACAAAATAACTGAAAAATTAATAAAACAGATCTCTTCGCAGAACTCCTGATGTTCGAGGGACATTAAAACAATGATAAGGGTATTTACCTGATTTTGGCAAAGTAAGGCCAAATTATTCAGTTGCTTCGCCACATCTGGATGATCTTTGCCTAGTACATTCTCTCGGATTTCTAAAGCTCTTTTGCAAAGAGGTTCAGCCTCTTTGTACTTGCCTCTCTTTCCATAAAGTACGGCCAAGTTATTGAGGGTTGCTGCAACCTGGAAATGAGAATTTGAAGAAATTACTTGACAGGAGAAACTAGCAATCATTGGTAGTTTAAAAATCTAACACAGAGCGCTGAATCATGGAATCCTGCATAAAGTAAAAGAGAAGGAAAGAGAAGAGAGAGAGAGTCTCTCTCAGAGCGATATTCAGAAGTGCAGAAAGAGCCCTAACGCAGAGTTCACAGATTCAGACAAATGGCAAGTATGTCTTGGGTTAGGTAGCAACTTTTTTTTTCCTTTGCTAATCTTTAAATTTTGAGCTCTACAGCCAGAAGAAGTTGCACATTTTTTTACCACAACATCAGACACTTTACTCGGAAATTGGAAATTTTTCCATGACGCAAATCAGAGACTTGACTGTGAGGCAAAAATGCAGTTGAAAATGGTCGACTCGGCACTTTTTGCACCCTTGGCAGTGGCCTGACATGAGTTGGCCATCAGTGCCTCTACAAAGGATAATCAGGCTTGTTAGAGATTCTATGTAAGGATCAATTTACAAAAATTACTTACAGCAGGATGATTTTCTCCCAGGGTTTTTTCTCGAATGGCAAGGGCATCATTCAACAAATTAGCAGCATCTTTGTATTTATTTTGGTCCCTGTAAAGATAGAAATTTTCATGAAACATTATAATAGCTTGTACTGATGAGCCACAAAAAATATTTTCATTAGATCTTTCAATTCAAAGCATGAAGGATGTGCTTTGCAGCATACTGGGTCAATTGAAGAAGTAAAAAAATCATATACTCATGTAATAATCATTATTAATCCCATTGATCTCATGCTTACACCATATATGAAATTTATTACCTGTAGACAAGAGCCAAGATATTCAACATTGTGGCAACGTCAGGATGGTCGTGACCAGACGTTTTTTCTAAATCCTCTAGTGCTTGCTTGCAAAGAGGTACAGCAACTTCATACCGGCCCTGAGATGCATACTGAATAACTAAATTATGTAGTGTGCGTAAGCGGGAGGGAATTTCATAACCAGCATTGACTTGCTGCTCGAATTTGGTTTGAGGAGTAGGTGATAAATCTGAAAAGAAACCAGAGTAAATGAGTAAATGGGAGGGAAAACCCAAAAATTATTTCTTTCACTTTGAATTCACTTATGTGACCCTCTGTGGGCGGGTAGACTTAAATAGACTGGAGTACATTTTTCAGGAGCCAATTATTGCCGCGTCAGGTCCAAGAGCCAGAGATGGAGTTTTCACATCTCAAAAAACTTTCTGCAGCATTTAAAAAAAATAAGTTTGGTTCATTCTTGTGCCAAAGGAGAGCTTATTTTAAAACTACAATTTTAAACTTCTAGCATGACAAATTAAAAATGTAAACTACCTTAACTAAGCATTATGTTCATTGAATGACATACTTCAAACTGACGTGAATCTGACTGGGTTTGAAATTTTAGTGCCAAAATGATCATGAAACCCTCCTCTAAGCAGTAGTACTACAATTAAAACAAGGCAAAAAAACAATAAGAAAAGTATCATTTTTATTGATTTCTTCCATTATTCTGAGGATAAATTAATAATTTTTACATTTCATCTCCTTTCATAGTTCGGAAACTCGCTTGTGGCAATTCATTGAATATAGTCCCTGAATGAGCCCACTCTATTTAGATCAACCCGTGAGGGGTTTAGTGGTCGGGTCGGTTAAGGGTCACTTCGACGGCTCTTCACCGGCTGATGGCCGCTGCCATCCCGGTATTCGGTGGGCCCCTTTCATGGGGGGCGTTTCGGCTACCCTCATTATGGGGGCACTGTAGCGAATTTTTCCCCTCATCCAAAAAAAAACCTGTGAGGGGTGCGCAAAGTGCACATAAAAGGGCGCAAGGGGACCCCCTTGCGTTGAGCTCATAGCGGCCAGGAGGCGTAGCCCTCCAGTTAGGTAAAGCTCTTTTTGGTTTATATTATTTCATTCTTAAGATTTGCATGGTTGACCGTTGATAATTGATAATCACTTTATTTTGTGTTTGCAACAGGTCTTTAAGCTGGAGACTTGACACCACTTTATAATAGCTATTACTCATTTTTTACTAACACATATTGAAGAGGTAATCAAACTTACTGCCTCTATCTTCCGTATCTTCATCTGGAAATAAATCTACTAATTGATCGTATGTTGTTTTCTGCTTGTCCTGTTTCCCTTCATTTGCAGACTGGTCATCTGACTGCTGAAAAAAGATGATATACATGATAAAACTGATAAGCTTCAACAAGAACACAATGTTTCTTTGTGCGTAATTGTGACCAGCCATGCCAAATTCGGACTTTAAATTTTCCCCTGTGAATACATTCTAGTACCCGAGGGAATAAGTTAATAGTGGCTCAGTTTTTTGTGCTGAAAGAGGATCTTAAGTTGCATCTAGGTTATACGATTTTGAGCACCAAACACGACAGATTAATATTGGAGTCGCTTTTCTTCAAACATAAATTTTTTGAACGGAAACTTTGAAGCATCATTACACAGGTTTGGTTTGAAATTTTTGAGTCTTGATCATCTTGAAAGTTTTGTGAGATACTCTTTCAAGCAGCAGTACCAATATCTTTTTTTATCATCACTACCCGGAATCAAACTCCAGATCAAGGCTTCTACTATTTTTCTGTCTTCAAATTCTGAGTGTTTTCTCTGAAGTGTTAGCAAAAAATAACTCTCCACTAAATCGCACCTGTCAAAAAATCGTAACTTAACCACTCTGATGCGATTACGGTCCATAAAAACTTAAGAAAGCTACCTTTGGCTGGTAAAAATCTTGTCCAACTTTACTACCACACAACACTATTCTACAGAACATTGGGCTTACCTACTATTGTTAAAATGAAGAAACTTTTCAAAAGCATACTTCAGTCACTTCATGGCCATTTTTGACTGCTTCATGTAATCAGATAAACAGTAATTCTTTGACATTGAAACAACTGCTATAAAAAATTGTTGATCATGCTCTTTATCTAAAAAAAATCAGCATGTGCTTCTAGGTGTGGATAGTAATTTAATATTGAGACAAAAAACAGGCAGTTCCGGTTTTAAACTTTTTATTGAAGTAATTATTTTCACTGAACTCTTTTTCTTTTAAATTCCAGAGTTGACAGCAAATTCCCTGGGGTTTCCCTGTGTTTTCTGTAGTAGGAACCCTGCTCCAAATCAACTGAACTAATATCAGACATGCTCGACAGTATACAATGCTCTTAATGACTTGAAACATGACTATCAACTTACTGAAACATCATCATATTTCTTCATGGACTCCATAAATCTAAACTGTTTATTATCTTCCTCCAATTTAGCAACGGTCCCTTCAGAAGCTTGAAGTTTCTGCTGCACATTTGCTAGTTCATCTCGTAACCATGCGTTTTCTTGACACAGACGTTTGACCTGAGTTCGTAGCTTCTGTTTTTCAGCTTCAATCGATTGCAGATTGTTTGCTAAAGTCATCAGAACCTGTAAGCATGAATAAGTATTGTGAAATCATTTACTATTCACAAATTAATTTACTATACAAATCTGGCTTCAGGAATAAAATCCATCAAGCAAGCACATTTAATACCTACAATTGAGAGCAGAGGGAACGTAGCTAGCAATTTTGGAAAAAACGAGTTAAGTGCTTCCTCAATATACTTAATGCAGGACCTACATGTATAAAAAAATTGGTTATGATACCTACCTCTAGTCTAACGATTTAGGATTTTGTAATTTGCAAAATAAGCTGAAGAGTACAGAGGTTTCTCGTGGTTTTCCCTTGTTTTCTTTATAGGAGAAAATATAGTTACAGTTCTTTGGCCCTTAACTACAGATATATCTCTCCATGTTTACAATAAAAGCAAGCCAGTGCACCTCCCAATCAATCAATAGTCTCAACACAAGGTGCAGTTTTGACAATCAACCATGGTCATGTTTTCGAAAATATCTCCTGACGGTGCTCTTTAGCTGCCACAGCAACCGTAAACATTCCCACTGTGTACAGTCACTGAGTTGCCAAATCAAGCATGGTCGCATGATTTTATCAAATTCATCTCCCCCATGAATACATTGAATATTGAAAATTTCAGAGATATTTTATGAAGAATCTTCCATGGGCCTCTTCTTAAGTCTACAGATTCATTTTTCCCATTCCAATAAGTTCAGGTAAAAGGATTGTTTTTCTTACAAGGGCCAAAATAACGCTGCAAATTCATACTGCTGGAGTGACAATATAAATAGGAAAAAGCGACTTAAGTAGTGAGGCCACACGGTAGCTCAAACATCTTAACTAACACAAACTGATTGCGGTGGACGCATCGCACGGGTCGTTAGTATGTTGGAATTTTTTTTTTTTTTCCCTGTACTTACCTTTTTCTTAACTTGACCTGTAATTTGAATTCTTTTTTGAGAAGCTTCGTGACAGTCAGATGCATGAGCAAGGAAGATCTGTACTGCAACTGCAGACTTCTCCAATTTTAGTGAAAAACTGGACTACATTTTGCAATTAGAAACTACAATCTCTGTCGCATTTCAGAAACAACATATATGCCATTACTTTCCCTACATAGATGAGGGTTTTTATGGTAAAATCCAACATTTTAGACGATCCTTTAATAGATTAAAAATTACAGTGAGCTAAAACCTCTTAAACTCATGACAAACAGTTCATTGTCGTAATTGAAAAAAAAAATAGTAAGGTTTACCTCTGCTTCATCTAGGCCCAGTTCTACCATATTGAGAGATTTTAAGACTATTAGCCTTTTTTCCTCTGCTATAGGCTCCTGTTTATGTTCCAACAGTCCATTGAGAATTGAATTATGTTCGATTTTGAGGGCTTCCAAGCCCTGGACTACCAATTTAGTATTGACGAGCATTGCTTCTTGACTCATAGCAGTCATTTTGCCAATGGTTCCAATTTTTTTCCTAGAGCACAAAAATAAAAAAGAAACCAAAAATTAGTGAATAATAAGAAAAAAAGCTATAAGTATACAAGATAAAAAAATAAAAACAAAAGGAGAAAACAGATGGCCGCAAGCCAGTCGACGGGCTTCCAAGGGGAATGTCACAAATCCCATATTTAATCCAATAGAGAATTTGCAGGTGTCTGAAGTTTTGAGGGTTTCATCTTCAAAATGATACTGCTAGGAAAACTGAGTTCGAAGATGTCCTTGATTTCTAAATTGAACAATTATTGGAGGAAATATGACAAAATAACCTAATTTGCTAAAATACATGCGTTTAAATGGAAAATGCCGCCAGATGACGTCATAAGGTGGCACATTTTCTCACTTTTAAATCTATTTTTCTCCGATTTCCCTTGTCAGAAAAAAATTATGAAAAATACTGCGAACTCTACTCATTAGGCACTCTTAGATGAAGCAATAAAATTTTTGTATGCAAATTCTCCATTCTTTAATTACATTAGTGCAAGAACAAAATCAGAACCATAGAACACGCCAGATTTCTTCCTTCCCCCTAGAATTTGAACAGCCACCTTGGCCGGGAAGCCCAACTTTAAGGTGTCGAAATTTGAAGAGGAAAAAAAAAAAAAAAAAAAAAAAAATTTAATCCTCGCCGAATTTAATCGAATTGCGACAAAAATGACCGTGGCCACTTTCATGGGTGGGTTGAAGACTAACTGACTGTACAATCGCGATCTAGCAGGCAAATACAACTCTGAGAATCAAAACGTGCAGAGGATTGAATACTTCCCAGGCTTTATTAAAAAACACGCGTAGTATGAAGAAAAAAAGTCTGAGCTTGGCGGAATTTCCGCACTTTGTCCGTACTTCCGGACCACCCTTAAAAAATCAGAACCATTTCCAGACTTTCCGGAAATTCCGGAGTGGTAGACGACCTGATGATGAAAAATCACATCTGGACCCTCGAAAAGGAGAACGTCAATGGGTGGATTTCAGCTAATGGGATAAAATATGGGAAAGACGTGTAACTGGTTGCTCAAAACTTTCAATTATGATATTTTCTTTCGATGTTTGGTTTCTTGCGTAGAAGCAGGCCACACCAACCACGAAAAAATTCCTCAGGAGTTTGGAATAACTCTAAACCTTTTTTTCAACGTGCTAAACAGTGAAAATGTTAGTTTGGTGACGTGTAACTCGGAGGTAGTCAGTGTATCAAATCGTTATATAAATAAACTAGGACCTTTTGCGAGCTTCGTCTAATTTTTTTTTAAGTCTTGAATGTATATTGCTTGATATAATATGCATTAAAACGCCAAAAAACTATATTATTCAATTTAATTTGAGACTTTAAGCCTGTAACTCAATATTATGTTAGTTTGGTGACGCTATGCGTTTTAGTTTGTGGCCACTGAAAAGATAGCGCTTGTGTGCGGATTAAGGCATGATTGAGTGCGGAAGTGAAGAACGAATAGACGTGTACTTGATAAGTCCACATATTTCTTACAATTTCAGCATGATTTCAGTTTTTTCCATGGTTTTTGGAGTGTCTCACTTATTCAATGTCAGTTTGGTGACGCTGGTTTCCATCAAAACTTTTGATGGAATATACAAGGAATATGTGAGCAAATATATTTTTCTTACATTTACAGGTGGCCTCTCGACCTATCCTCAATGATTCGTTTGATTTTTTTATTGTGAATTGGCAGGAAAAATTAATAACAGCAAAATGTCAGGTTGGGTGATGTCACCAAACCTGACATCGTCACCTTCCAGGCAAAGTATCACAAGCGCCATGCGACGTTAAAAAATTTCCGCCGCCATTTTATTTCTTTACCGAGAAATTGTTGGTTGAATCTGTTTGGAAATTTCACTAAATTTTATCGGCAGCACAAAGAAAATTCAGTGAAATTTTCGGACAGCTTCATTGAACAATTTCTCTGTAAAAAAATAAAATGGCGGCGGAAATTTTTAAACGTCGCATGGCGCTTGTGATACTTTGCCTGGAAGGTGACGACATGTCCAAACCAAACTGACAGGTCAGGCTTGGGAAAGAAAAATAATCGTAAAGATATTGCGATGCACGTGATTAAATGCTACAGTATAGAGCTCTAGGATACCAGAAAAGTAGTCTTTAGCTAGATACGGCCAAATCACTTATCAACTTTGTTTCAGGACCATTTTCTCCCATTAGCTGAAATCCACCCCAATATTTCCCTACTAGTCGAGTCAAATAAGGGTTAAACTCGGAACTAATTTAATGTTTGAGTTTCTTGGGCTCATTTTATTCAGGAGATCGAGGAGAATCGAATGAACTAAAATTCGCCAAAATTCTCCCAAAATTTGACCCCAAAACACCCCAAACACTGAAAATTGACCGGAAAAATCCACGGATTTTTTAGTAAGATGGGAATCATCTCAGAAACCGCACATCTGAGCATGAAGAGTAATAGGACTGAAATTAAAATAGTTTCCGTAACAGTTTCAATAGATGAATGTAATGGAAATTTAGCTCCCTTTAATTTCAGTCCTATTACTATCCATGCTCAGATGTGCGGTTTCTGAGATAATTCGCATATTACTAAAAAATCCGCGGATTTTTCCGGTCAATTTTCAGTTTTTGGGGGGGTTTTGGGGTCAAATTTTGGGAGAATTTTGGCGAATTCAAGTTCATTCGATTCTCCTAGATCTCCTGAATAAAATGAGCCCGAATAACTCAAACATGCAATTAGTTCTGGGATAACCATTTTTTCGCCCTTGTTTGACTCGACTATAAGGCACTCTGAGCGTGGCAACGTTGGTTCCTATCGCCGCACAGAACACGTGACTAATTACAGAGGTGAGTTCACCAATAATTTGATCCTGGGCGGCCCCCACGACCTCAACTTTCCGGGGCCGCAGCTGCCCGGGCCTCGAGCGAGTTTTCGGACCACCATCGTGTTCTTCCTTTCACAGAGGACAGTCCTCCCGGGCTAAGGAAGAACGCCGTATGAGCCTTCAGACGGTGCCATATTTCCTTCCGTAAGAAACGAATTTACGCAGAATATTGGAGGATTGCTGATTTAACAAGTAATTGTTAAAAAGCGATTTCATTTTTTCCGTCAGAGATACGCGAGGGGGAAGTGGGGGGAAAAATAAAAAATAGGAGAGAAAAGGGAGGAGAAAAAAAAGAGGAAAAATGAAACAAAATAAAATCAACTCAAACAAAGAGGCTCCACCCGACACAATGGCCAAGTGTCCTTAGGGGGTGTTTTATTTTCGTTTTTTTTTGTTACCTATTTGTCTATAAGCTTTGTACATACCCCTGTACTAAGACGAAAATAAATTAAATTAAAATTCAAATTGTGAAAATTCTTCTTCGAATTTTTCCGACGTTTCTATTCGCAATCCAGTCTAAAATATCTGAAAATTATACGGGAAAACATGCATAACTTCCCTCAAAAATACATGCGTTATCCGGGGAAATTTGGCAACTCTCGAATGTTCATTCGGCGTCCTTCCTTGGCACGGTAGACTGCTCTCGTCCTGAAGAAAAACGCCGTATCAACAGCGAAACTGCAACAGCGCGTATATCATTCGCGCGGTGTTCCAAAATTTTCGTCCCATTTCATTTCCAGAAAGGAAAAGCGAAACATGCCAGTTGCTTGAAATGTTCGGGAAATATGTTCTTCACACAGAATGAAAAATCAGGTAAATTTTCAAAAAATGGCGTGGACTTTCTTTTAATTTGGAAAGTGGAGTAAGGATGACAGCAAGTCAGCAGCGGCGAGAGGAGAGATGGGTAGGCGCTTTTACAGCTTCACCGTTGATACGAATATATTCGAACTACGCCAACTTCCCCTTGAAAATAATTATTTTTGACGGACGTTATGAATATTTTTCCTTGAAATTTTCTTTCATATCAAACTGTAAGAGGCTACGCCCCCCTGGCCGCTAAGTGGCCCAACCCAACCCCCAGAGGGCGCTTCGCGGGCATTCGTGAGTAAATCTAAATAGTGCGGGATCATCTACCTGGAGACGATCCCTTATGAACAGCCGCAGAGATTTTATGAAAATCGGCCTTGTGGATCTGATTCGTGATCAGGGCCAACTGTGACAAAAAATGAACATCATTTTTTAAATGGGAGAATTCACAGCTTTATCGCGTCATATATAAAACCTGGGTCATTTTTTCAAAATCTGAGAAAGAAAGGGTTCATCTGGGAACTATCATTGGTCGATAGTCGTAAATATCATGGAAATCAGCCCTGCGCACGAAGAGAAGTTTCAACACAAAAGTTGCTTAATACGGGAGGTAAAACACAAAATAACACTAGCCTTCGGTTGACAATTTCAAGAGAAAATGCCAGCTCGTTTTCTTGAAAAAATTTTATAAAAAAACAAGTGGTGATTATCAACGTCGCAATCGGAGGACTTCATTTTCCCTGCCCCTCCATTGCTTTTTTCGCTGAAATCACCGCAAACTGTGCCAAAAAATGTGTACACAAATTTGTGTTGGTTTGTGTTTCACTTTCTATACTAAGTATTTCTACTAAGTATTACACCTGCACAGATCTTTTCATCAGTGCACGACGGCAGAGCGAGCTGAGACAAAAAATGAAACTTTTGGGGGTCAGAGAGCTTACAGTAATGATTACGAATGCAAGTCTCTGAAAAATTAGGAGGCCAAAAATATTCACAGGTTTTCTGCGGGCCGATTATTGAAATTGATAGACAAAGCCATTGACAAAGGAGACAAAAGAGATATTAAGAGATCCTAATGGTGGAAGCGGGTGGTTGCAATGGACAAAGGAGGTAGGTAATCGACTAACTAACGGCAACCCACGAGAGACCCGACAGTTAGTCTATCATTTTCTCTCTTTGTCTATAGGAACCACCCGTTTCAACCAATAGGATCGCTCCATACTCCCTATGTCTTCTTTGTCTATAGCTTTGTCTATGAATTTCAATAATCAGGCCGCTGGGCAATTAGTGTTTTGTCGGAAGAAGTTGGGCAACGTTTCA